AAATTGGGCGAATCCTAGCGTGACGGTGAAATGGTTAATGAAGCGTAAGTAATTGGGCGAGGGGCTGAGGATCCCGGCCTAGCTTGGCGACCGTCATTAGCTATTGTTCGTCGAGACGCCGACGCAGTGATCAGGAGCGTGGGGAAGAGAGGGGTAAGTGGATTCCTGTATGAGCCACGTTTAGCTAATGGTCTAATGAGTCTCGAGGCTCATCACAGATTGCACTGTATTTCTTAGTTTTAATAAGAAATAAAATATAATTCTGTAAAATTAGTAAATAAATACCAAGACAATTATTCAGGATGTCAAAGACTGACTGAAAACTTTTTATTAACCTCATAGGATAAAAATATTATTATCAGCTGACACTGACATTGTTGTCAGATGAACAGCACTATCAGAGCACGGGTACCAACTTTTGAAAAGTATAACAGAGGTTTGGAGATCTGTCAAAGCAACGTTTTGAACAAAACGGAGGAGTTAAATTCTCATTCCGAGAGTGCCGACCTGCTCAGCCATCCTCGAATCAGTTCGCTTGATTCTGCTTATATATGCATATTTTAAATCAGCGCGTCGTACTCTTAGGCTTTTTTTAAGAAAACAAAGTAACGTAGACTCTTGGTATTCACTGCACATAAACTAGAGAGCCCCAGAATGAGAAACAACTTTAAATCATAATTATTGACGGATAAATAAACTTTTTACACGCTTTGGAAAATCTCAGAAGTTCGCGGTAGTCACTTTTCGGTAAGGAACTAAGGGACTCGGTTATTGTATCGAGCAGGGTTCGAAACGATCGCAAAGGCGGTATACTACGTATACGCGCCAATACACATTTGGTTGTCCGACCGTACAAAATTCTCGGATGGTTTGAAAGATTACGTTTCATTTAGCCACAGCTCATTTAGCCACGTGGCTAAATGCAACAAAAAATGTTGCGCATCTTGCCACAGATTCTAAGTGCTATGTGGCTAAACGAAACAATACAAATTAGTGTGGCAAACGTGGCAAAGTGCAACAAATTATGTTGCAGTTAGCCACATGGCCAAAGGACAAAACCACGTATCTACATTGCAGCGTTACCGAACCTAATCAAAACGAACTTGACCTAACCTAACCTAACCGAAGCTAACCTAACCTTACCTAACCGAACCTAACCTTACCTAACCTAACCTAACCTAACCTAACCTGACCTAACCTAACCTAACCTAACCTAACTTAACCTAACCTTACCTAACCTAACCTAAGGAAGGCGAGCTGCACGCATGTGGTCAATAATTCCTCCGAATACTTTCCAATTAGTAAATTTTCATGTATTTTAGCGTAAAGTAGAATCAGTATTGCCGTGGTCACTAGTGGAGGATGGTAAAATTATTAAAATAAAAATTTGTTATTTATACTTTTTAATCTATTCCAGACTCTTAATAAAATCACTTACACTGCAGTAAAATAAAAATGGGAGGATAAATAACAATTTTTTCGCTAAATTTGATGGGCCATTCCAAAGACTGTGGCTAACTGCAACAATTTTTGTTGCATTTTGCCACACCAATTTTTCTTGTTTCATTTAGCCACACAGCACCTAGAGTTTGTGGCAATTCGCAACAATTTTTTTTGCAGTTCGCCACGTGGCTAAATAAACAGATACCGTTTGAAATTCAAAAATTCTAAGTTCATCATATAATTATTGAAAAAAAATGAGTGAGGTAAACTTCCTCCAAAGAATTCATAAGGTTCTGAATGATAAATCCATATTTTTCTTCAATTTGAAGCTTCAAAGAATGTTAGAGGACAGGAGATCTGGAAATTGTCTTTATCCGAGTAAAACTTTTCAGTATTTCCTTTCCTTTCGATTCATTACTAATTTTCTGAAATATTCAGCCACTTGAGGTTAAGTAGAATGGTTTACCGTTTTGAACTGGAGTTACGGCAACAACAATCACAGAGAAACACAAAGACGCCAAGATGAGCCTCATGACTGCATGGATGAAAACCGCATTTCACTCGGCAGAGCTATGAACTCGTACTGACAACGCTCGTTTGCCGGATGAACTTTTTTTTTTAAATTTCAACAAAAAATTTCAATTTACAAAATCTGTCATGAGGCCTAAAAAGGTAAAAAATTGGAACGCATTCTTTTTTTCTGTGAAAGCTTGCTGAAGACTGCCACATTTGTCAGAACTTTGATGCCAGATGAGTCGTTGACATGACATTTTAGGTTCGACTGAAATTGAAAAACATCAATTTTGCATGCTGCGTGGCTTCTGTAGTTCGTCCGCCATGTTTTCATAGAGATGCGCCATTGGATGGAAGTCACTGACGGGGACATGCTCAAGTCTGACGTCAAAGACGTGTAAGAAAGCATGAATTATTGCGTGTCCCGCAAGAATGAGTACAGTGAGTTCAAATTATCCTCAAGTGGGTGTCTTTTTTATTCCATTAATATTTCGATGGTACAGGCAGCCCCTGCTGTTTTGTACTCCACAATGATTTATGCATGAGATACGCATGTCCAGATGAAAAATATTCGTATTTAAATTTTGGTTTTTTTTTTTTTTGTTTTGTTTTTCTGTTCATACAAGTTGATGCAATTTTAAAAGTAAGTAGGGCTAAAATGCAGTGTGGGTGGGTATCTGTGATGGCTATAAAATACACTTTCTCAGAAGAATTTGTTTATTTTTGAAGTGAAGAATGGAGGAACAAATTAAAAATTTGAGGGATCAGACCACTTTAAATCTGTTTTTGAAGGAAAAATTGTATGGCAAAGTAAAAAAACATGCACTTTGACTTGATTGCAGGATTTTTTGATAAAGAAATCCTCCCGTATGTACAAAGGGAATTATTTATGATTCTTCATATTTTCCAAGGAATCACTTGAATATTATGTTGTGTAATATTGAAACCATGGTGTTTCAGTTTCAGGACTCTCACATGATAGTATTATTGTTCCTAAGTAGCGTGAGTCTCAATTTGAGATAAACGACAACCTTTTACTTTGTAATTTGATTACATACGGCAGTTTTCTCTACTTAGGATCGTAAGGAATACCGAAGAAGTTATATGCTCTGTTGGAACTGATGTTGTATGGAAAATGCACGGCATACTTCATTTTGGAATGAGGCGTAACTAATCAAGTATATAACATTTATTGATGCCGCACCTACACACTTTTTTGTCCTTTACGACTTTTTGGGTTTCTTTATTTTAAAAATGTTAAAAGGTAGAATAATTTAGATTGACATGGTTATTGAAAATTCAAACATTAGGAACGATCTTACATGCCCTCTTTGGGCCAAACGCGACCCATTTTTATCTCCAGTAATTTCTCTCAATAACGAGGACTTAAGAGACCGGTCGATTTCCTCGCAATAGAGAGGTTTTCGTCTTATAACGTTGGTCGATCAGAGAAAGGTGAACAAACTTCGACATCAGGGACTCAGTAGACCAAGGTATCATTAAGGAGTGCAAAATCTCTATATACCATCCTAGAATTGCAGACTCGCGGTGTGCACTGGCTGCGATACAACTATACCAGCACTGTTGTCGCTTGTATTGCATGGCAAAAAATTGAAGGCACTCTGAGATTCCTTACACTATGCTATGCGCCAGCGTCGTCGTTCAAACTACCGATTGACTTTCTTGCACCAGACGAATCACACGTATCTCACAAGTGACCTCGATATGTTACCGTTCAATAACCATAGAGACAAAAAAGGTAAAAAAAAGAAAAAGAAAAAAAATTAAGGTGATCCAGAGGCGGTTGGCTAGGGGTGCCAGGGTGCTTCAGCACCCCAGAAATTCTGCCGGGTGGCTCCGGGGTCCCCGACAGGACGCCTAATGCCCCCCTAAACTTGAAAAAACCACTTCAATGAGGGCTGATTGTTGAAATTGATAAACAAAGCTATAGACAAAGAAGACAAAAGTAGGTATGCAGGGATCCCATTGGTGGAAGCGGGTGGATGCAATGGACAAAGGAGGTAGGTAATAGACTAATAAACGACAACCGACGAGACACCCTATAGTTAGTCCATCATTTTCTCCCTCAGTCTATAAGGACCACCCAATTCAACCAACAGGATTGCTTCATACTCCCTGTGTCTTCTTTGTCTAGCGCATTGTCTATCGATTTCAATAATCAGCCCGCAGGTATCTCACCCGGTTGAGACCCACCCAAGAGGCGAGGCTCCAAAAACGTGGCAGCGCCGGAAGAATTTTCGAGCTAGACCGACACTGAGGTGATCTAAACCCTTAACATTTATTTTATTTCTCATTGGTCCCTGATTCTTCGCGATTTTTCGTAGGAATTTTTACAAACAAAATACAACTGGAAAATTGTAAAATAGCTACTGCAGTATCGACCTTTTCAATCAGAAGATTAATTTCCCATTAAATTCCCATTTGAAAATAATACAACCTAGCATAATATCTACGAAATCCGCCGAGGGTGTGACTCAATAGCATAGCAATCCACATGTCATCGCGGATATTGGAACTTCGAATATCGGACTTCCATTTTCATTTCACAAGAGGATAATTCCTTCAATCGTATCACTGAGCTTTTCTTTTCGACTCCTTCGACCTCTATCCTCAACCTTCCTCTCCTTTTTACGATATGCATAAAATAAGATGCGTTAGGTACTTTTACTCTGTAACTAACTTGTAGAACGGGGTCTCTTTGCATCTTATACGATGCCTCCGGAGGTTTGTCCAATATTCGCACTCTCACACTTTTAAAACTCTTTTCACATTATTTGCATACTAAGGGGTATGCCCCCTGACCGCCTCGCAATCGGACCACCCGAAGCGCGTCGCCCAGATATTATGCGTTATGCGTTACGCTTAAGATTTTACAATAAAGAGAAAGATTTGCTCGTGTGAGAATCTATCCCTGTATGTTGTTGAACTTTCCGTGCAAAGATTAGCACGAGCAAGGCAGCCATGTCGTGTGGGTACACGGACTTTATGTCCACTTTTTCTTCGTCCACAGACTTTTCGTCCACAATTTTTAGGTCCACAATTCTAAAGCCCACACTATTGTTATACTTAAACGTCCACTAAGTTAAGTCCACAAATGTAAAGTCCATTAAAATCAAATTCAAGTGTTATATTTTAGTTCGTGTGGAAAATTATTTTGACAATATCGTAATGAGAAGATTAAGAGAGAATGAGGTGTTGAAAATGTTGCGCTTACACCACGCTGCAGCACAGTAAAAGCCCAAAACATAAAAGAATAAAGTCGAATGCTTTGAAAATCATTAAATTTGACACGGAACTACTCTTATATTTACAAAAAACGCATTATATTTTCCAGAAATACATATTTCTTTTTCATCAGTTTAAAAGGGAATAATCAATGCAGAGAGTGCAAACATTTCAAAATCATGAGTTGAAAAACGCTGACTCCGCGAGTTTAAATATTAGAGCCTAACACAGAGCGGAGCAGCGTGATAGCAGCGCAGAATGCGCATTGGCGCCTACAAGCCTAACGGGATACTTCACGCATTGCGCAACGCGTGAAGTATCCCGTTAGGTTTGTAGGCGCCTATGCGCGTGTCACGCTGGTTGCCTGCCGCGCCGTAACGCTTTAAGCAACTATTTCGCGTCAGAGGCGTTGCACAGTATCCTACAAGATTGAAGGCGCACGGAATAACTAGTTAAAGAGGACTTTCAATTTTGACAGCATCTGTTACTGAAAACTGTTTAATTTGGCATTGGAATGTTTCCTAGGCTCCCGCTTCGGGTTTCATCTTACCATATCCGTACAGTGTACACATGAACACATGTTTTTATCTGCTCTTAGAGTCCGAAATTTTCGTTTATACTCCCATTTCCAAAATTAGCTGTAAAGACGTTTATAGCCTGAGACGCTGAATGTCTTGAAATTAAACTAACTAACTAACTCTTTCATGACTTGATTCATGAATGAAATGTTTTTAAGAATGAAGGTGGACATAAAGTCCTGGAAGTGTCGTGTGGCGCGATGGATGCTCCAGGTTCATGACATCTCACGGAATTGGCCCATTTGCATAGCAATGCTAAACATGTCCTGAGTGTGACTCATGGCAGAAGTAGCCCTCGATAAAGTTACAAAAGTGACCTAGGTACATGGAATTAACGTTAAAAACTTTCTGTCAAGCTCTATAGTGGATTTTGAGCAGGAAAATCTACAAAACTGTATTTCTCGCAAAAGTTTAGTTTAGAGCAGTGCGTTCCAAATAGCAAATCCAAGAGAGGAAAGAAGAAGGGAAATAGATACTGCAGAAGCATTCAGGAAGAAAATAATGTAAACAAGTTGTAAACGAATGCAAAATTAATTTATTTACAATATAAAAATGAAAACTGTGGATTAGACCATTCTAGAAAAGTTAGTACAACTCTAAGGACTATAATACTTACATTTTAAAACGACCTCTACGAGAACTAAATTTTCTGGAGTCATAATTCTAGGTGGATAAATGCAATTGCGGAGACGTCTACATCACATATTGAGATGAGAAAACCACTGAATGGTTTTGTTAGAAACATGCCGTACTTTAGTAGACCATAACTCGATCTTTTACAAGAGCAAATGTGAGTTAGGTATATTTTCACTCTGGATTGTCAATAGGTAATGTTTAACACGTAGGTTAGATTTCTTATTTCTGTTATTGGTGGGAAACAATCGTAATGGAACGCCATATCTCAGAGACACTGCTGGATATGGCCACCGATGTTTTCAGCAATACGCGTGTGGAGTCGTTCTTGGGGAATAACTCTCGAATATTAGGGGCGATTGGACGTATTTATGCTCAAAATGAATAAGTCCAATCAGGAGGATAAAACGGATCATCCTAAATGCATCAGACGTTGTCGAATTTCCTCTACTAATGGACCACTAGACAAGGTACGAATTTAAGCATTCTGATACATGTTTCTTAACCAGAATTTCACGTAGAACACGATTAGCGAAATGGATATTACTGAAACTAACTCCTAACGAAGATATCAACGTATTTATTTCACATTGGTTACGAGGAATTTGAACTGCCCGCTCACAAGAAACTCAAAGCTCTACGTGAGTCAAATCGCGCACTACAACGGTTCCAGCAAGCTTCTCAATTGAGCAATGTTCATTTCCCACCACGTGTTGTTCAAATTTTGAGCAATTTGCTATAGCTGAGCCAAAGCGTTAAAATTGAGGTTGCCACATTTTTAAATCACAGATACTGTCATGATAACGTTTAGCGCGCGATGTGAATCACGTAGAGTATTGAGTTTTCATGAGCGGGTGGTTTGAATTTACGCATCAGGAATCATTAAGTATCTTCGTAAGGAGTTGATTTCGGTATTTTTCGTTGTGCGCATCGTGTTTTACGTAAAATTTTGGTTAAGAAACATGAATCAGAATGCTGAAATTCGTACCTTGTCTAGTGCTCCATTACGGTTATTGACACAGAAGAAAGCAACATTCTGGTGTTAAATTTTGTGAGTGCATTAAGTTCCAAGGTGTACCAGTTTTAGTTTCCTGTAGTACATTTCAAAACACGAGGAAAACCAGTCAAAATGAAATATGGTAAGGAACATTCTGGCTTCCACGTGTATACGCTATATGAAATCCTACTAACTCGATTTTTTTTTTTTTTTTTTTTTTTTAAGGGTGAGTAAGGTAGAATTCTACTTTACATGGGGTACTTTGATATTTAATGCGCAAATTATTCCATTTCTTTTTCTTTTGACGAATATATATGATAATAAGAATTTTACTTTTAGTTGACTCTTCTTTAAGTTTCCGCTGAAAAGTCATCGGTGGAGGAGCTCTTATGGTTTAAAGAGAGCGGGGCGGGGAAGGAGGTGGAGTTCTTGAAGAGGACCGCTTGAAGCCGTGATCGATGTCCGCGTCACACCAGCCCAATTTAGCGATACGCTCCTCGAAGTCCGAGTCGTGGAATTCAGAATCCTGAATATGAGCTGACATCTCGTCTACAATTACTCTGACCAGAGTTTCATGATCAACGTGTTGGAAATTTGTTCCTTTCTTACCCTCAGGGTATATCTTGTCCAGGACTTTGCTCGCCCCCTCAGGATCCTTTTTCACTGCTTTCCTCGATTTTTCAAATTCATCAGGAGATTTCTTTAACGCAGTTCGGAGGACGGCTTGGAATGAACTCGTTGTCATGCAGAGACACGTGTATGCAGGTTTCATTAAATGCGTCACCTCTCCAGCAGATTGGAGCAGACCGGTCAAACCTGATCTAACCTGGGATGTTTTGACTGTTGTTCCTTTCGTAATGGGAATTACTGTTCCTTCCGTAAACACCAGATCTTCGTATGATTCATGGTCAGATTGATAATGGTAACCCCATTGTAATGAGCATTTCTCGTTGCATTCTTTGGTAAATTCAGAGTAGGCTGAAAGCAGGGATACAGAAAATATCAACTATCACCATTATAATAGTAATTCAGATAACATTCAAAGTTTACGTTGCTTTGTTTTTTTCTACTATACAAATAAGATCCAACTTGACGCATTTTTGCTAAAAGATAGTAGGTAAGCACAAACGAATTAAATGCGAAGGAATTACAAATGCTACGTGTTTAGTTTGTTCTAGTTTAATTTGTTTGTACGTAGTTTCTTTTGGTATGAATACGCTTAATTATCAAGACACGGAGGAGAATGTGACGCAATTTTAAGCATAGCACTGGTTTTAATTTTGTCACATTTCTAACGAATGCAGTTGGAGGCCTGGTAGAAGCTACCATTAAAGTGGTTTTTTAACTTCATATTAAAAGCACCTCAGACTGCACAGCCACGTATATGGAAAGTACTTTCGGGGAAGCGATCAATTCCTTTGAATTTTCTTTTTTCCTCCATTTATTTTTCGGGCCAAGATTTCAAAAGTGAGGGATAGTTTTATGAAAATAACCATTTTGAACTCTTAATACTCCTGCATGCCCTGTCATGACTAGGCATATGAGAGGATGTGCATACTCAAGGTGACAATCTCTCAGAAAACTCAAATTTCACCTACAACTAGGAAACTTTTAGATCGTAGAAAGTTATTGCTGAGTTTGTTTGTCTGTCTTTTGTGCAAGATTTACATTCGTGCTTCCCAACATTCTGTACACATTTCCTACTCAAAAAGGTGTATAGGAATAAAGGAGAAAAGTTGATGATAACGTGATTGCCATCTTCCTAAAAAAGTTCCAGAGACATACGATCATCTGTAAGCTGGAGGTAACTACTCGCCTTGTGAATAATTCCTCGTCACTACTAAGTGTTCCATCGAAATCAAAGACATATCGACGGCGTAAGTCCGCAATCACATATCTCGTTTGCGGTGTCTGAAAATCTCCGCCTCCATATTATTTTGCTAAAGGAGGACAAATTGACATCATTCCTTGAAGTTTTTGCAGAATTTTCTTCGCACAAAGAAGAAAAATCACGGCAGTTTCAAAGAATTGCCGTTGAGAAGTTTTCGTTTAAAAAATAAATTATGACAGGAAGTCTACGACGTCGCAAACCGCGTTATGTGTTTGCCGCCTTACACCGTCGATATGATTATTTAACAAAGCCTGCATGATTCAGATACAGTAATTTATGAATCACAGTCAGATCAGATCGTACTGCGGGATATGCGTTTCCAAGAATATGCAAACCCTTTTTTTTATCATGTTGAATACACAATTGAGCACCGCTCTATCTGTGCTTTCGTATTTCATCCCTTCCCGTCTTTTAAAGATCTTCCTTTAAAGCATACCCTATTAAAGTGTCCGATTACATGCGTTTTACGAACCTTACAGGTGCATTGCATGATGGTATTTGCACTTTTCATCTCTCTGCAGATATCTGAGTATTTTTAAAAGTATTTATGCTAAACGGGATTATGGGAAAATGAATTAAATTAAAAGAGACTATGTGCATGGAATGTGCGTACTTCACAGGTTCTTTTAGTACAAATTTATTCGTACATTGTGTCCTTCCCTTTCTCTCTTTTAATTGCTACCTTTCTTCTTTCCTTCGTCTTCTTTCCTTTCAATTCCTAAAAAGTTTAAGTCGTTGATTTTCAGGCATCTTTGAGTGGCGTTCTGGTATCCTCCTTACGATCAAAATTAAGTTTGTCCTCGCTTTAAAACTGTTACTGCGTAAATATTCCAACGATTAAGAATCCGTGTAAAGCCTCTAATTCATGGGAGGTAAGTGATTATCACTGTTTGGGCACATACTCAAATGAATGCACTGATGGACCTACTGATTGCCTACGCAAAATGAATGAACTGGATTAAATTTTGCAATAAGGAGCCACTATAATCTCAGCTGGCTCTTCCACAAAAGTACCTTTCTGCATGGGGAAACAAATGACATATATGTTGTTTCTAAAATGAGCCAGAAGGAGTGGTTCGTCATTGCAAAATGGATGAACTTACCGGTGCGCAAAAACTGACGCTGTGTTTCAGCACGACTGGGAGACGATCCCTGGGAGATATCTGAGGAAAAACTCATTTGACTTGGACTTCTATCCAAATGGTCACCTATAAAACGAACAAATTTTCATGGAAAAAATAAATCAATCAATAAACTGAAAAAAAGGTTTGACATCTATCATGTAAGTTTATATAGCCTGTATCCAAAAAAGAGGTATGTACTTATGAATGCTTGCATTAATTTACATTTATAGACTCAGCACACTCACATACGGCAAAGATAGCATACATGTGAGCAACAACTGATTCTATCAAGTTTGGCTCGGAGTAACCAAGTTTTTTTAAAAAACATAAGGTCTGCTCGTTGTATAATTTTTCTACATTTTTCATAAAAAAAAGTTTCGTATTAGAATATTAATTTTCATACATTTGTGTGCCCTAAACATTTAAAAATTGCCACATTAACTGTTACTTTGGGATACCTTAAGTTACTTTTATTCGGTCAGATCAACCAATCGTAGGTGCTTGCTTGGTTAATCGATATAAATTTTGGATGTATAGACCGAGATCGTAGATTACTCTGAGTCGTCTGGAGATGAAGAGAAAGTCCTAATAAGCTAATGTACTTTTGTGCCTCTTGGTGTAACTCAGAAGTTGCGACTCGCGAACAGTGGCGTGGCGTGAATTGCGATCTATCGATTGTTATGCCATTTGAACCTATGGTAAAGAATCGATTATTAAGGTGTTCGCTGAGAACACCCTGTTCATCGATTCTTTTTGATAGGTTTAAATGGCAAAGTAATCGATATATCGCAATTCACGCCACGCCACCGCTAGCGAATGCATAGCGCGTTGGAATATCGCATTCACGCGATCTAGGTTTGATCCTGGCGGTTTGTGCCTAATTTTTAACGAGGTTGCAAAGTTTCCACCCAAAGATTTGGTCAATATAACCGAAAGAAAATCTAACTGAAGTAAAATCTAACCAAAAGATATTATCCGAACGCTTGAGTTAGTTTGTATTCTACTTCCCATAGCAACACAAAAGGTCACTTACTATTTTTTTTTCTCTCACTGCGTATTCTCTCATTCCCACAAACTTTGTTTGTTTTGGGCCAATAAGGCCAAATTTGCTGCAAGAATCTTCACGGCTTTCAATCTTTAATAATGATGTTATCCACTTCTAAATTCAACAGAAAATAAAAAAAGAAAAAACCCTAATTAACACGGGAAAGAATCGAGTATACAATAAATTGGTTCCCACTCAGTTTTCCCGTTCGATGAGATCGATTTATACAAAGGAACCAGCTGCAGAATGATTTTACTCCTAGTCTCTCTTACTTTCCCTCACATTTTTTATTCTCTTTTACTTTTATATCTCTACTTTTTTAAGTACCCGTTTTGTTCTTAGGGAGAGAATTATAAGCGTAATAGCAAATAATTTTACGCAGTCTCCGTATCCTCGTACGTCTCATTAGCTTTCTCCAACATTTCAATGGCAAAATAAAACCCCAGTGTTTATTATTGCGGCCGGACTTGATCACATCCAGGTGTAAATGAGCCCGCCAAATGTTCCCTCACGAGGTGGCGAGTTTTTAGAGGGTACAACACTGTTTCTCCACCATTTAAACCCATTGCAAGCATGAGAATTGAGTGTGTTACATGCACTTGAATGGAGAAAAAATTTTCAAGAATTGCCGCTGCTCTTAAAATGACTTAAGATGCATCTCATGCACCTTAAAATAACTTTCTAACCCATTGAGATCCCCTGGATTTTGAACCAGCCTATGAGACCGGAGAAATGTCAAAATAAAAAAATAAATAAATAAAATCAATGAATACAGATAAATGTATACTATGGCAGCCCAAGACGTAGAATGAAAATAGACAGGAAAAAACACACGGTCAAAACGTCACGCAGTCAAAACGTCACGCGGTCACGCGGTTTCGACTGTTCAAAACGTCACGCGGTCACGCGGTTTCGACTGTTCAAAACGTCCCGTGATTTGTAATAATTATTGTGTGTTTTTTCAGCATCGTCCCCGCGTGTTCTTTCCTGTCTATTCTTATTCAATGAATACATGAATTCCCGACAGAATTTTAGAGAAAGCAACATATTCACATGACGTAAGAATAAAATAATTATAGGTGAATCGTGAATACCTCTTAGTGCTTTTCGAACGACTCCCGAAGGATTTTCTTTGAACGAACTAAAGCTGAACCATCTCTTACTTTTTGAAAGAGATCTCATTCCTGGAACAAATCATAATATCAATAGCAGAAACCTGACTACAAATCAATACAAGCGTTACTAGAAATGAAAATTTAGGAGGCTTGAGAGCTTATAATATAGATGTCTTTCTCAGTAAATCTATGCTTGATACGATGTCCCCATCATCAGCAACAAGTTGTAGCTCGAACAGTGACGACTAGAAGACCTAGATTATTCTCGCTTTTAAAAATGAGAGGTGCAGTTATCTTGAACATTTCAATATTATATCGTGGTCCGTTAGATCTGAAAAACGACGAATTTATCTTGTTTGATGTTCACAATCACATTTACCAATATTTTAAACATCCCGCCATTCCAGGCTCGGACTGGCCATAAGGCCAATCTGCCATTGGCAGATACGCCCCCTTGGCGCGCCTAAAACGCGCCCCTCTGACAGATAGCATAATAAGAGGAGAAAAAAAAATTACGACCGAGAATATATGCGGAAAATTTCTTAAATGAACGGAAGAAGAGAAAGTTAGGGGTGAAGAGAGGTGCTTTTACGCATAGTGGTGAACAGAGGTCCAAGAGCTACTTGCTGAATCTTAAACACTTATATGTGAAATTGTCGCCTTTTTGTTGACATACAGGCACTTTATCATCCCCCTCCTTCATTCTCTATGTGTAACTCCCGTAGAAACGATAGTCGGTTCGATTTTTAGGCATACGCACACTTTATAAACCTCATGAGAGACCATTAAACATATTTCTTCCTTTTCAAAATGACTATTGATTTGGACATATCATAACATATCTCGGGCAAACTTAATCTAATTTATTTCGAAATTCAAAAGTAAGAGACATCTAAAGTGTAAACGCGAATCAACTATTCTCGCAAGATGGATGTCCACATTGCATATGAAAAATGTAAGATGCGATGGCGTGAGTCGTGAACTCGCAATGATCTGCTCTAGTTTAAAGCAACTTTACAAATAAGACAAACGGAAACAAACACAACGTGGAAATAGAGCGAGGGAAAGGATGCGCGTTAACGACGGCGCAGAGATACAACTATTCGTGCTTGATGGACGTCCGTGCTGCATCTGAAAAATTGAAGGCGCGATGACGCGAAGCGTGAGTTCTCAATGCTCTGCTATATGCTGCCAATGCGGTGTCGCTCAGATTCGGGAGAAAAGTTAAAAAAGAGGCCCGAACACATCTCTCCTACCTTCGGCTGTGTTATTCACGTAGTGCTTGAAGCACCATTACGAATAAGACAAACGGAAACAAACACAATATGGAAATAAAGCGAGGGAAAAGATGCGCGTCAACGACGGCGCAGAGATACAACTATTCGTACTTGATGGACGTCCGTGCTCCATCAGAAAAATTGAAGGCGCGATATGACGCGAAGCGTGAGTTCTCAATGCCCTGCTATATGCTGCCAATGAGGTGTCGCTCAGATTCGGGAGAAAAGTTGAAAAGAGGCCCGAATACGTCTTTCTTGTCGTCGGCTATGCTGATACTCGTTCGTTCTTCTTTTTTCAGGTTCTTGTCTGATTCTTTTTTAGGATGGATTTTTAGACCCACGTCTTAAGCTCGTGTAAACCGCAGCACTGACACAGTTCTTGTGAAAATAATGGTAATTGGATGCGTCCAGTGGCTTTAATTTTTTCTGTTTTCTATTATTTAAGAAGTCTGTCGGTCTCTTCAATACGTTCAATTTTACAATTTTTACTCTGTACGATTAATAAACTTTGAACCTGAAAATAGCGTAAACTTGTGCTGCTTTTCCAAAATATTCTGAACCCCTCTCCACGAAGGAGATGCCCCATCAGGAAATATCACATTACGCCCCTTTAACCAGCCAAGGGTCTACGCCCTCAGATGCGAGCCAGTCCGACCCTGCGCCATTCTCTCAAACCACTGAAGTGGCGACACCATCGCGTTTAATCTTGATCGAAGAGAGAATTTGGGTCTCGCATTAACATTGTTTAAATTATTGAAAATTACTTTATATTCAATCCAGATACACTTGGAACCCATTCTAAAAAAGAAAGCTAGCCTCACGGTCTAGATGTATTCCTGCAAAGACCGAATACTTGAAATGTGCAATAAAATATGACATTTTAGCTGTGATTAAATTGGTGAACCGACGTCAATAGTATAATGAATTGATTTGAAGAAGTGGCCGTACTTACTCATTGAATCGCTTAAAAATCAGAGACATTTTGGAAGAACTCTTCAGTCTTCTTTCTCACCAAGAAAAAAAGAAAAGATATTAAAAGAGAAAGATAATGAAAAAAAGAAAACTTACCATTCGACACTCCCGACACCACTGACATGAAGCGGTTGCTGTTCTTTGAAGAAACTGTAAAAAATGCAAAATTGCTTATAGATTCCTGAAAGTCACGTCTCTAAAATATTTAAGCTATAGGATAGCCAGATTACTTTGCTGGGAGGGCCTGGCCTGTTACCAACAGGTCTAGAGGGTAAAACATTTTATGGCTTCCTGGGCGCATTAAGTTCTGCACATGAATTACGCTGTTTATACTGTCAGCTCAAAATACTTTTAAATTGTTACATACCTTCTCATTCAAGAAGCCTCCTCATTCAAGAAGTAAGAAACTTCTCTGTTGTTTCCTGTTTACTGATATACCTTATTGTAAAGATATTGTATATAATTCCTTTATAAGTTTACAAAATAAAAACTTAAAAAAAAAAAAAAAAAAAAAAAAAAAAAAAAAAAAAAAAAANAAAAAAAAAAAAAAAAAAAAAAAAAAAAAAAAAAAAAAATTGTTACAATGAGTTACGAGGAGTCATCGTTATGACGAATATTTCTTTCCAACAGACAGAATATCTGGGGCCAGATTATACCATCATCATTTCTAGGGGGGCCAGATGATGCCATCATCATTTCTAGAGGGCCAGGGCCCCCTGTACCTCCCTAGTTACGCCCACGATCAAAGCTTGAAAAACTTTAACGCCTGCAAAGTTTGAATAATCGTCTCGGACTCCTTGATGTAATGGACAAACGTTGATTGGGCAAGGTTTGCATTAAGATCAATTTTATTACAGGGAAAATGAGGAGGGGCTCTTAATTGAAATTGTTTTTAAAATTGGATACGGAGGGTATAGATGAAATTGAACACCATATAAATGTAAGTCTCTTCCTCCTCACCGTGCTAAAGTGACATTCCCTAAAATTGTTTAATTACAAATATCAACTCAAATTGGGCCACCATATTGAGCTGGAAACAGATAGGAACCTCTAATGTCCCCTGTAAAAACTTCCTTTTTTATCCTTTCTAACGTCGCGTCAATGAAAAGTGACGTTCTACAGCGAAACATTTCAGGTAGGGGAGAAAGGTAGGGTTCTTTTAAAATATCTGAATTCGATTGTGCGACAACTTATGTTACAAGAGGAGGGGGAGCGTTAAGCTCAGCGTTATCTCAAAATTTGTACATTACAGTTTTTAGTCTCATTTCCTTACATGTCAATTTTTTGTGGTCTCTGTTGAAGCTTAGCAGATTTGAGTAAATCTCATAAATTAGGGCAGTTTCACCACTCCTGACGAACAATTCAACGAAGCGAAAAAACACCGTGACGGGGAATTTTAGGACGTAACTATCTATCATATCAATGCCATTTTTTGCTCTTGTGAAACACTTTGGAACTAAAATAGAATCTTATTTTTGGGTATAATGGGTCCTCAGAGCGAATGTCATATTTTAACCGGATTTGAAACCTAACAAGAGATAATAGAGCCCGCTTGGTGAAAATTATAGTAAACTATGAGATTTATATGTACACTTTTCCCACGGTAGACAACTGGAGTCTGCTTTTTCACCGATGGTTAATATAAGCGTTTACATGAAACTTACGAGAGCGTTTTGTAGATTTTGAGTCGAGCTTTGAAGGAGATCTTGACGAGGGCGATCTAATAGGAGAGTCACGATTAGGTGTTTCACTGACCACAGCACCTATCAGGTAGATGCTGCACATAACAAAAAGTACCCGCATGGTGGAAATAAAATGGCTTTTGCGGTATGCCTTGTAGAACAGCTAAACCCTAAAAGCAACATTTTCAACTACGAAGTCGCGTATTTATAGTGCTGATGAGAATTGCGGAAAATGGGAAAGGAAAAAACCCAGCTTCGATGGCGTCGAGCGCTTTTTTGAATTTATTTTTTACGCTCTCATTAAAAAAGTTTGATACTGATGTTGCCACGACCGCTAACATTTTTCCATAATAATTCAAAATATAGGAAATTCTTAGAATGCAGTTTTTTTTTAGGTATCGGCCACGAACTTTTTTTTGTGTGGATTTTCCCATGGCTGATACCTCATAAAAAAACTTCATTGTGTAAATGACAGCCAAAATCAAACTTTTAGCAATTCTTGGTATACATAGATTCAATAAGTTCATCCGGTATCTGTTCATACACCTACGAACAATACCAATATACTTTAGTAAACATTTTTCGAAGCGCAAAAATTGAAGTGCTCGTATAAGGTCATTCCAACATTTGAGGTAATTGAAAAAACTAATAATTTTCTTTCAATTTCAAATCTTTGATGTTACGTTCTGGGAAATGTGTATTCATGGTATTTTGAAAGAACTTGAGATCTTGATTAAAATGTTTTCCTTCATTCTAACTGAGGTAGGTTCAATACGGAACGACGACCCCACCTAATAGCCCTCGTATGAACTTTGTAAATATCTGAAAATTTTTAAGTATACGAATTATTCCTCTCAATCATTCTTTAAAGGTAATGTCACGACACCGCGAAAAAACCACGGCTGTGGAAGCCGTACTTGCGGGCTGTATAGACATACCGTCCGAGTTCCGAACTCAGAGGCTGAGGGTTCCGGGCTTACCACCCGGAGCAGTCGAAACTACGGATCCAACACCCGGAACATTCAGCTCCTGAGCCCGGAACGGAGTTATTTGTTTATATAGACCATAACTTCTGTTTTTCGGTGAATCAGAATGATAATTATCAAAATTAATTTTATGATTGTCAAAAAATTGTGTACATTGAAGATGAAAAACATACTAAGGAAAAAAATCAAAGAAAAAAGCTAAAGTAACTTCAATGCAATGAAACAGTTAGGCCTTTTTTTTATCTTCTGATTTATCAAATAAAAAGGTGGCACAAAGATTACTGGTATAAGAGAATTCGCATTAATCAAAGATGTGCACTTTGATAAAATTTTAGAAAATAAAGAAAGAATTGAAAGAAATGAGAAATTGAAGAGCAAGAGAAACTTGAATATTTAGGATACATCGTCGAGATAGACGAGTCAAAATCACCGTGTGACGGCGTATTATTAGCTGAGGGAGGAGTGAGAGAGGCATTAACAGATAAGCTAGGTGTCACAATTTTACTGCAAGAACAGTTTTAAAAATTACTGAGATAGAAAAATAGTCATTGAGGAGGACAAGGCGGTAGCCCGCCTTAATGTCCCTCCTATTTTCAAATTTCACTCCCATTGCTCATGCTGAAAACGTTAACCTCAATCCTGATATAAAATCTGACCTCGAAGAAGTATCATTTACAAGCTTATTCTCATAGAAGATAAATGGAAAAAGGCTACAAATTTCACTTGACATCACTGGGATACCCTTCACAAAATTTGAAAGACTCGTAAAAAATAAAAACGAAGGAGGGAGAAAGAGTGAGAAAGAGAAACCAAGTGTTCGTTGAGCTAGCTTTGTTATCAAAGGACAAAGTTAATTTTATTTTAATTTATAAAACTCCAGTATAAAAAGAAAATCCTCTCAGTCAGGAAAATTATTCTTTATCCAAAAAAGGAGTCAGAGTAAAATATACGTTCCAATCATAGACGAAATCTTTTTTCAATTGAAAACTCGCTTTTAATCAATTTTTTTTTTTTTTTTTTTTTTTTTTTTTTTTTTTTTTTTGTAGTTTTCAAATTTAATCATTAAAAGCTATGCGTTAATAGTGAGGGTAGATCACTCCAATTTTCCAGCAACCTTGAAACAAGGTAGGGGAAAAGGACGAATAGGCTCTAAAAAAGGTATGGTGAAGTATTCAATAACAGTGCTCGCTCATTTCGAACTGTACACAAAACCATTCTAAAAAAATAAATGCCTAGTGCGCCCTCGCTTCTGTGTTCCATGTTGATCAAACTACTCACACTCGGTTTGTCAGAGCAAAATCTCGGTTTCAGAGTATCAAACGTTCGATTCGTGTGATCAAATTCCTCCTAGTTGGTTCAATTGAAGGGTTAAATATCGCGAACCGAGCGGTCGATCCTCCCAATCAAAATTTTGCTTTGACAAACCGAATAGTTTGATCAACATTGAACAAAAGACCGGCCTTTCGTTTTCAATACTTGAAAATATCTCAAGTGATTGGAAGAAGGAGATGATTCCGCAAATACCACTTGTAAGGGAGTGAGTGCGAGCAATTTTTCTTACACCGAGGACGAAGTTACGCATAGCCGCCACGCAGTCTAACCCCCAGAGGCCCAGAAGATACCTCGGAACATCTATGGCTTGCTTCACGAATCCCCATGAGTTGACCTAAATAGAGCGGGCTCATCAAGGGGCTATCTCCCATTAATAGCTGCAAAAATAATGATAATCGGCCCCGTGGATCTTTCGGACAAACTATGAAATTTTTTTTTTCAAATACTCGTACATTGTTTACGTGTGAGAATGTGCAATTTCGTCGCGTAAAAAAAGAACCATGGATTGCATCTTCAAAATCTAAATAGATCGGGCTCATCCAGAGCAAATCACCTGTTGATAACCACAAAAATTATGGAAAGCGGTCTAGATGGTAGAACGTTATCCAACAATACTTGACAAAAAGTAATGCGGGAGTCAGCGAGTTTACAGTGATGATTGCAACATGGGATGATTTTGATTCCCTTTTGATTAACGCAATTCACCCTTTTGGACTGCGTTGCGCGACAAAGAATAGCTTTTCCTCCATTTTAGAAGTAACTGATGTGCGTGTTTGAATATGCAAGCCAGAGACATTGGCCCCCACTTGCATTGTGCGGTCTAATGCTTCCTCTCTAAGTATTTTCTTCTTTGTATGCAGGTGTACTGTTGGTTGGTATAACTCGATGGAATTTTCAATCTAAGGGCTTGCATATAGTTTGATATCTGTAAACTACACGTTGACCAACTGGCTATGGTACCGAATTTCTGAAATTTTCTCTCATGGAAAAAGAGGAAATATTAAGCTGCAAACGTTTCAAACATGATTGAAATATGCTGATAGTACGCATAGTGCTGCAAGTACGTCAGTTGAAAGGCCCAAAAAATATTTCGAGAGAAAAATAAATTTTGCGACTGATAAACTGAAAATCCTTTTCTTGAAATAAAGCAAATTTTTGAAACCTTCCAAGATGACATTTTTCGAAACATCGCATTCAATTATTTCAAAACTCATATCCAGGTTGAAAAGAATTTGATAAATGAACTACAATTTCGAACGTAGCATCAGCCACTGTTATGATGAGGAAATTTCAAAACCTCCGGATAGTTTTTCCAGACCAAATACAAGGCGATGCAATAACTGCTCTCTGAAAATTTTCACAAAATATTCATATTTTGTAGGATAAATGGGTGGAAAAATAAAAATTTTCCGGAAAAGAACTGTGCTATCATATGCTCGTGTGCATTAGGTAATCAGAAACGTGTTTTGCACATCTTGAATTTCTGCACTCACCCTTTGAAACACCCTGTGAAACTCCTAACTGAGCTTCGAGTACCTTCACGCTGTCGCATCAATTATCTTCCTACTTGAAGTACGTTGAAAATGTAATATGGAACGGCTTTATCATGCATTGTACCTATCATGGCGTTACACTAGTGATAATGAGTGTACCGGTAGCCCGGTAGGTAATGTTTATCGTGAAAGTAGTGCAACACAGGGCGCATAGGAATCGTGATTGTGTCGAAGGAACTAGCTCTTCATAGCTGTCGATGTACAAAATGTGCTCATGACATGCTGAAAACTGTTTAAAATTTCATTCATAAAGCACAGTGAAACAGTGAAACTGCTATGACTTTAACTATTTACAGTGTTTAATAAATAACACACAGTTGATTGGAAAATTATTTTTGGGTTGACAACGTGGGCAATACGTTCCATTATAAAATAGTGATTTTTTCCATTAGAAGAGGCAAAACTGTGTCGGTGACAGCATCCCGATCGAAGAAATTACCTTGGCATATGTTCATTCTAGATTGTAATGATGCACGTTCATGCATACATTTATGTCCATCTATCAGAGCTCAGATTAAAAAACTTGCATGATTTCTTTTTTAATTAGATAATTCTGCAAGGTCACACGATATTATATTAAGATTTGACAAATACTGGTGGCAAAAAGGATCGCATAAAGAATATATGATTTCAATAAACTCACTGTTCAAATTAGCTGCAGTTAAAATAGTTCGCCAATGTAGTCGCAGCAAGACACTCTCCATCCATATGTACAGGCTAAAAGCTTTCCTTTCTCAGTTTTGCATTTAAATATATTAGGATATTTTTTTAATCTCCATTTAAGTATGTATCTTTAAAACCTTTCTCCCCTTTTTTCCTATCTGCTTAAGATGGACCCAGTACAATGTTCATATTCTGCTATAAACTTTATTTGGGCCTTAATTTGGTGAGGTTTTTTTCGCCAGAATAGCGGATATTATACAAGGTGGGTCAAAAGTAACTGAAAAGTGTCTATAACTTTTGAACAAAAAGAGACAAAAGGTTCTGGTTTGGACCATTGCTCATTTTGACAAGGGGCTGATTTTTTAAGGGGGCTCATTTATTGGGCCCCCAAGGGACCCTCTCCCCCTCCCAGCTGGGGAAAATCGAACTTTTCAAATGGCACCCCCCCCCCTTTGTGACACATTATGAAAATCTGTGGCTATATAATTGACTTGTTTCTCCTCGAAAAAACTAAACAATAGCAGAGATTATGAAACACCGCTATTAAGATGTGTGGTTTCATACCTCATATAGCTTTCGATACTTACCATTTCGGCGTTCATCTGACGTAAGGGCGTAACTCTACTCTAACGTTAGCCCCAGAGAGTATGGAGTCATACGGAGGTCAGGGCTCATGTGGAAATTGATCAGTGGCATGGCTTGTTTTGCGATATATCGATTGACCTGCCATTTAAACCTATAGAAAAGTATCGATAAACAGGGTGTTTGCTGCGGACATCTTAATGATCGATTATTTACCCCAACTTCAAATGAGGAAATATCGATAGATCGCAAAGTACGCCACGCCACTGAAATTGATACCAGTGGAGAGGTGTGAATGATCGATTATTATAGATATCTCTTCATTTGAAGCTGTGTTTAAGAATCGATTATTAAGGTGTTCATAGCGAACACTCTGTCTATCAATCCTATTCCATGGGTTTAAATAAATGATCAATTGGACTGAGTTAAGCAGAAAGGAACCAACCCACATTTTGGGCAAAATTGAGTTATAAGTGGTTTTGAACTCAACCACTGCTCTACTATCTATCGCCAAAAATTCAAAGTTTTCGTTGGAGCAAATTTTACAGAAATTGAACTTGAGGTTTATTTTTTACATTGAGTCTTATGCAGGAGCCAAACTTTAAACCTCTTTTTCTCCGTTCAATCCCGATGTGGCTTGGTTCCTTTCTGTTTAACTCCGTCCAATTGATAAATCGCAAAGCACGCCACGCCACTGAAATTGATACGCCTTTACGTCAGAGGAGCGACGATTTCTCCAAGTGGTCCTTCATATCGATAAAATGATTGAATAATGACAATGTGACTTCTTCGATCGGACTGTTAAAGTTTATGTCATTTGTAACCTCGAAAAAGCGAGGATTCTAACTGCGAGTTTGCCGTGAGAGAATACTAAATACCGCACCATCAAATATTGAGAAGTTCTGGTAACCAACTCGAGAGGATCGCGATTGTGCCATGCAGTTTCCACCTTGAGACCCGTAAAAGTTAATTTCACACGGCTATAATATCATCATAGTTATCACAATGAAACTAATGATTGGAGACGAAGAAGTTTGTGTCAAGATCGGGAATGACGGAAAAGAGGAGCTATCCTGGCGCTGCTGGCTTCGAACAGTATGAGTCAATTATCATAATGTTAAAATCTCATTTTTGGCTTCAATTTAATTTGTATAATGCTTGAAAATTCAACATGGACCTACGTCCGGGGTGAAAAAATTTACTGTAGAGGGATTTTAGTGGTTAGTCAGTCAATTCCAGAATTAGGTCGAGTAAAAATATTTGAACTTTCGATGGAATACCTACTATTTCTAGAATCTTAAGTGTTCAATTAATTTTCTTGTCAATAGGGGGCATAATTTTACAACATAACCCGAGATTATTACCTAAACATGTGATGGTAAAATAAGCAGTAGATGTAAATAAAATCATAATTAATGATTTTATTCGAAGCGAATGTATGAGTGATATGAGTATGATCATACTCATGAGTGATATGCTTTTCGAATATAGTTTTTGGGACCCTCTGTTCCTCTCTTATTGAGATCCTTCAGATTACCAATTTCAATTAGAACTCGTTTGAATTTCCGATCCCTCGAAGATTCCGATCACATATGACTTACGTAGCTATCTTTCCTTGCTTTTTTAATCTGAATCCACCGGACGCCGCTCAGTAAATCGAGACAATGGGAGAAGTCGAACAAAATTTGGAACCTTTAAACGCCTGTAACTCCGTTTATACAAAACTTTGAGGTTCCAAAAGTTGTTCCATTGGTATCCTCGTGAAAAAATTTTCTATGAGCACCCCTTTAAATTTAAAATCTGACGAAATTAACATTAAAATTTGCAGTTTTAGTAAAAAATTTCATGTCTGCCCTCTCTAGTTGACTCGATTCACAGTGCGCCGTGGACAATCTTCGACTGGGAAAAATCAAGAGGAAGCTTCTTATACAGGGTCATTCAAAAGTTACGCACCACTGACCACAACTGTAGTTTTCATTCAGATATCGATTTGCCGTTCGTAGCATTTTTCTTCATACTGAGAGGGAATTTTTAGGAACTTTCTATTTTTTGATCCCCTCGGGGGGAGGGGGGAGGGGTACAACTCAAAAAATTTCAAATGCGTGGCCACCCCCCTCATGACCGGTGGTGCGTGACTTTTGAATAGCCCTGTAGATGTTCTGGCAAGTGATGGAAGAAAATAAATTAGACCTACACTAAATAATTATATATTATTTATAAATATGTTTTCAAATCGTTAGTAACAGCAGCAATATTTTTAAAGACTATTCAAGTAATCCAAAAAATTAAAATCAATGGAATAATAGTCATCTTATGATAGTGGCTTCGGAAGTGAATGACCGTAAAGTTTATCTTGCTCCTGTTTATTGCCTCTGTTTCAATAAAATAATGCTAATTCTCGACATTTCACTGTTTTAAGATGTTTGCTGCAAGTGGCGCTATGGCGGTTTTTGTTTTTACTGGAGTAACGGAGGCCCAGTCGGCAGTAATGTTACCTCAGCTGAAACAAAAAGACAGTCCAATTCAAATCAGTGCGGATGAAGAGACTTGGATTGGTACGTTTGAAAAAAATGATCAAATTCTTTATTTAAAAAATCACCTATGAAAAACGAAGTGAATTCCTGCTGGTCCTGTATTGCTTTTATTCGACTAGGCAACTAAAAATACTTCCAAGCAAAGCGTGATGTATCATGTGAACCAGAAGGCGCTTCAAGCCGTAATCGTATTTTTCCGATGCTTCTCCACAAAAGGGATTCTTCAACTGGCGTTGACTCCTTCAAATCTCCAATCGAAACACTAAACTGTGCAGAAGCTCCAAACAAACCACAAACTGACCACTCATGTTTACATCCAACGCTCAGAGGCTTAAGTTACGAAATTGAAGGGACTATAGTTTCAATTTCTTACATGGTTTGTCTTGATTTTTGGTTGGCATGTCATCGTACACCCCATACAATCTAATTATGGTAGAGCATTTTTGAGGGAAAAAACCAACGTGAGTAAATATAACGTGAATTCTCCGTGATATTGAATAATGAGGGTATTATTTGGAAAGAACTTTAAAAACAGGATTTCGTCTAAGAACGCCTTTCATTTCACATGATACTTTCCGCTTTACCAGTCTAGTTGATTCCTTAACCAACCCGCGCTCAACCACGGGCTCCAAAAAGAAAATGTCATTCCTCTTGTGGGTCTCAGGACATTTTGTCAACGATTTTTGGTCCGCGCACCTTTTTTGTCCAGTAGTTTACGCCCACACGTAAAATAAGCAACAGTGACTTGGTCCAAGCGTTATATTTTAGTCGGTATGTATAATTATATTGAAAATATGGAAATGAGAAATTAAGAGAGAAGGATGTGTTGTTATGGTTGCTCATTTTCTAAATGAAATGTTATTACTTTCTCCTTTTGAATAATCTTTTTAAATTGTCATTGATGAATATTTGGTTTTATTTCTATCCTTAAAATATTCGATGTACAATATACCTCATATATGTATACGTACTTTTTTTTTTCAATTTTTTCTTTACGAAATTATTACTTCATTTTGAAAACATTTATATTTTTAAAACGCAGTAAACACAATAAAAGCACAAAATGTAAAAGAAAAAAATTAAAGTGCTTTGGAAATCATTAAATTTGACACGGAACCACCAATATTTAAAAAACACACATATTATTATTCTCCTTTGATAAATCGATACATATTTTTCCCATCAATTTAAATGAGAATAATCAATGCAGGGTGTGCAAACATTTCAAAATCATGAGTTAGAAAACGCTGACTATGCGATGATTATAAATATTAGGGCCTAACAGAGCGGAACGGCGTGATGCCAGCACGAGAGGCTCACTGGCGCCTACAAACCTAAGTGGATACTTCACGACATGCACAATGCTTGAAGTATCCACTTAGGTTTGTAGGCGCCAATGCGCGTTTTGCGCTGGCCGCCCGCCCGCTGCGCCGTGCGGCTGCGCCTGAGGCAACTATTTCACAACAGAGGTGTTGCACAATATTATACGAAATTGAACGTATTAAGAATGACATGCAGGCATCCTTTAAAAGTACAGATCTTTCCTCGCAAAATAAATCAAGATACTTATCGTACACAGGAAAAATCTAAGAGCCTTTAGCTGAGGCAAATATAGAGGTTTATCCGGTTCAGGTATAACAAGGTGGGCATTTCTTGAAAGATAATTAAGTCCTGTTACACCAAAGAGGTGTATAGAGTTTTAGTGAATTTTGTCTCATGGAATTGACGCTCCCCTATTTTTACCAAAACTCTCAACTATATATTATTCTCCGTGGACCAAACAGACAAAACAAAAAAACAAGCGAACCCTCATTCTTCCAAGACATTATACATTATCATCCAAAAACGTCGTGAGCAATTGTCGTTTGTATTTACATGTGGGCCAATTAACTTTGGGTCTCAACTGGCACGTGGACCAAAAATCCCGTGCCGAAAAAACGCGTGAATGTAAGTTACTGGAAAAACAGGTGCGCGGACAAAAAATCGTTGACGAAATGTCCTATAACCCTCATGTGAGACAAAATTCTGGCTTTGAGTACTCGTTGACTGACAGGGCCGGATTAGCGTTCAGGAGCCGGGGGTGCTTGCGGACACAAGAGGTATGGTATACTTGTAGGACTTGTATACATTAGTTGCTTGCAGAATTTAAGCTGTTTTGACAAAATGAAGTTTTCTCAAGGTTTTAGATCCAGTCAGCAGAGAGCACAATGTGAGAAAATAATACCTTCAAGAGTCATTTCATTGACCTGCTTCAACATTGAAGCAAGCAGTGGTGAATATCGTGAAACATTACTTTGTAATTCCATAAAACCATGATGGAACGTTAACTGCCGTCCAACGGGTAATCCGATTTTCGTTTTCATGGGCTTATCTGATTCCTGATAATTTGCTCAACACGTTGCGTTGGTTCTCAGGGCATTTAATTATCTTTCGCAGTTTCGTTTTGACACCCGTCTGTCGCAGTGGCCGAATTTTGTTGGCACTTTTACACGAGAATGCAACGTGTCCGTCAATGAGCTGAAACTGCGCAACCAGTCAATCAGAAGCCCGAGAGGGGACTTAAATGCAGTCTCGACTGATTCCAATACACGCATGTCCTTTGCCCCCGACCTAGGCCCGATTTCGAAATCTGGCGCCCTAGGCTAATGATTTTTTTTGCGCCTCCCCCTTCCTGCTCCTTTTCTTTTTGCCTCTGGATCCAAAGAAGGGGCGCGGGGCGCTTAGACTTAACTATTTTTTCACACATTTTTGCAGCTCCTGATGACGAGGGTTTCCTTTTTCCCTCCCTTCAAAGTCTCGATAAAATTCAAAATTTGGCGCCATCAAGAAGCTCGCACCCCAGGCTTCAGCCTCGCCAGCCCGTGCGGTAACCGGGCCCTGCCTCCGACAAAATTCGGCCCCAAGTGCATTTTTTATTTTTGAGATATGCGTGAAAGTCAAGCCGGACACGTCAATTTTTTGACAAATCGAATTCGCAAAAAATTTTAGACCGACGGACGTGTAATATCATGCTAGAACTTTCAGGCGAATTGATTATTTCACGGAGATTGCTAGCCCAGGCATAAAAAGAGAGAGGCTCGTTTCCATCCACCAATAGCGCGCCGCTCAATTATAGATGCAGATTTTCTGAGTAATTTTCGCTGGTGAAAAGCCGTGAATGTTGAAAAACATGATGATTCTTCAAATTCTCAGAATCGCAAGCCGAAAGTTGCACGTTAGTACACCTGCGAATTACATGTATGTCAAAAGCTGTACCAAGGACTGAGAATCGTACTGTTCCATAAAAACTAGCGTTTTTTCCAGTATATCAGCAATGAAATAAACCGACTAAAATGCGGATGAGATCATGTATTGCATTTTCCTGCGATGCATGACCAGGGTTTGGTAACTATTTCACAGAATTGGGCTAAATTTCACAATAAGACACTTCAACTCCTGACTCATTCTAGGAACAACGAATGTGCTTTTACTCGCCCAATGTAGATAGGTGCTTTTACGGATGAGCCAAAAACAGTAGTTGCTGATTTTAACATTTAGCCCGATTAACACCTCGTGATTCAAAATATATTTTATGTATATTTTGGCACGTATTTTGGTATGTAATTACAGATAATGCATCAAAACACTTTGTTTCAGCCAGCCTCGGTATTTTACTAACACCAGTCTCAGCTATACTTGCCGGTCCTCTAGTTGATGCATTTGGGCGAAAGAAAGGACTCCAAGGTTTTTATATCATCATAGGGCTAGGTTTTGGTGTTATTGCCAGCGCGAAAGAGGTTTACCAAATCTACATAGGGAGATGCATCTGTGCGTTTGCAGTTGGTGAGTGACCTATCTCCACAGAGATGTCTTGTTTCTTTGTAATTTCTCAAAATAATATTAATATGAGTCCCTATAACATTTGGTTTCTGGAGCAATTAATGACTTCCAATAGTATATTCTCCCGAAAGTTTTTATAAAAGGAAACTAATTCAATATTTGGGAAGCACACTGATGGCGAAACTGAAGAAATGCATATCTCGGTTTGACGCGACGCAGACCTCCTTTTGTGCTTTATTTTCTACATGGAAAACTAGTAATCGCCATTTTTCAAAACTTCGGTGATTTTTCCTCTCTACATAGAATATCTTGTGAAAAGTTCCAGCCATGATGTTAATTCGATCTGCTTTTAAAGAATAAAATAGAAGCGGAGATTTTGAAACACCGCAACCGAGACACGAATTTTTGCCGTTTCGCCATCAACATATCGTTTCGAATCGTAGAGAGGTACCCAAGGAGTCTGTAGTTAAAAAAAAATGTCTTTTTTTCATAATTGTAAGGCCCGAGAGACATTTTCGTATTTGATATCGCACTTTGATATTGCAAAATTCAAGCAACGGTGACAGAACGAGCACAGTCGCGGTACATACACCCTAGTTACGATTACGGTTGAGACCAAGAAGCACTAAAGGAATAAACGAGATTGAAAGGATAAAAGGTGGTAAATTCCTCAAGTGACGTCATAAAATCAATTGATGCGTTATTTTCCCGGTTAATGTAGAGTTGAGTTTTCGACAACTTAGAAAGTTACTTAGATATTTGATAGAATGAAAAACAAAAAAATACAGGTCCTCTAATTTGTTACATACTTTTTTCACATTCTTCTGAAAAAATTGTACAACGGCAGGACCGATATTTTTACTTAGGTAGCTTTGAATTGAAAAGGTTCTAGCAAAATTTTGCGAATTGTGTACTTTGTGTGTGTACTTAAGTGCGCTTTAATGAGCGATGTAAGCATCGCTTATTAAAGCATTATCCCAACGTCATGTGAAGTAGAGAATACATGGATCGCATTTACCGAAAAGGAACCAGCTCGATTACATGTTGTAAAAATGTTGATTCTGCATAATTATCTAAAAAATCTCTCAGAATAGCAAATATTTTTTTGTGTAAAAATGTTTTGCTTCCCACCAAAAAAAAAAAAAATTAATTTTAAAGTAAAATAATTGTGTAAATTTTACATATCGATGGTGAAACTACCTAACCACGTATCTCGTTTGCGGTGTTTAAAAATCTACGCTCACATTTTATTTTTTTGAAGTAGACCAAATCAATATCATTCCTTGAAATTTTCACAGAATTTTCTCCGCACGAAGAGGAAAAATCACAGAAATTTTCAAGACAGGACGTTAAGTAGTTTTTCATTTAAAAAATAAAGTATGACAGGAAGTCTGCGACGTCGCAAACCGAGATACGTGGTTTGGTAGTTTCACCGTCGATATATGTATAATACATACATGTATATTGAGTATTTTTTAAAAGGAAAGAAGAATTAGCATGATTTTGGAAACACTATAATCGCGCAGGTTCCTTTTTGCAAAATGTGATTCACATGTTGTGCTTTTTTAACACGTCATCGGTACAGAACGTTATGTCTCCGATGCCTAATCTATTTTCTCCATGGCTGATCTGTTTAACTTACAGCGGCCTAAAGGAAAATGGACCGAGCGCAGAGAGAATACGTGCTACGCGGGAATCTCAGCAAAAATGTAAAAAAATGAAACGACGTTAAACGAATAAACTAAAATCCAAGAAAAAATTGAAGAAAAATAACCGTCGAGTACTAATCCGATAATCTTTTTTTCAGTTTTAGCGATGTTTTTTACTGCGGGAGTTGAACAGTTTCGGAGAAAAAAAAGATTTGCTGGGAATTTTTGACGGGCGTTGCGAAGAAGCAAGCTTTTTTTTTTCTCTCTCTCTCTCTCTCTTGTCTTGCTATATGCCACAAGTGGAAAATTTTAGTACTTTTTTTTCTCGATCACCTTTTTTTCAATTTTCAATCCGAAAGGTCGATTGCAAATACTAAGAATTATCATTGCGTGATCTCTTCGCATCCATTATTTTTTCCTCATTTCGCGATTGAAGAGGTGCCTTGATGCCTCCGCAAGTATTCCACCGAAAATTAAAAACTGCAGTTCTGATTTTTGAATTTGATAGACAAAGCTGTAGACAATGGAAATACCAAGATAATATATAAGGGTCATAAATCTCGAAAAGCCTAGAGATCATAAAAGTAGAAAAATATTATATTAGCCAACCTAATTTTATTATTTATGTTAGTAAACGACAATTCATTTTTATTATAATAAAAAAAAAAAAAAAAAAAAAAAAAAAAAAAAAAAAAAAAAAAAAAAAAAAAAAAAAAAAAAAAAAAANGACTCGGTTATTGTATCGAGGGGGGGGTCGAAACGATCGCAAAGGCGGTATACTACGTATACGCGCCAAAAAGCGAAAAGAACGCGAAAAGAACGCGAAAAGAACGCAAAGTGAAAAAACCGCTTGTTCATCTGCAACGTTTATTAATTTCCAAAAATTCTGAGCAGATATACCTATAATCAAACCTGTACCTCTCTCTTTGACGCAGGTATGGAGCCGATTGCAGTGATTTACCTGGCAGAAATCAGCACAAAGCGACAGCGAAGCCTCTTCTTTTCGCTGATGGCGGCTATGTATTCGGGCGGTGTCACCATCACCTACGTCATTGGTGGTTTCCTACCATGGAATGTAGCGTCAGCCATCTTCAGCCTCGGCTGTTTCGGTATTTTCGTCGTTCAGTGCGTCACTCCTGAGTCTCCGGCGTGGCTTTATAAAACCAATCAGGTATTCTCTCGTGCCGAGGAAAAACGCCGCATGAACCTCCAGGCGTTGCCAAATTTCCTCTGATATGATACGAATTTATTAGGGGAAATAGTAAATAATTTTCTTTCAATTTTTCAGACTATTTTGTTCGCAATTTAATACAAGATATCTGAAAATTTTAAGGAAAAACATTCACAAATTTCGCCAAAATACATGTTTTATCCGAGGAAATTTGGCAACTCTCGAATGTTCATACGGCGTTCTTTCTTAGCACGGCAGTATAGAATCAAATTGAAAACAGTAAAATTTCAACTTGATTTAACCTATTGAACCGTCGAGAGGTCCATATGCGTTGCTAGAGTACCTTGATAGAGAGACTATGGACATGACGTCCATTTCTAAAATGGTCATCTTATCATTCAACTCTAATTTTATATTTTAAAATAGCAACTACCTGCGCAGGATTTCCTTCATACGAATAAAACTGCTCTTTTCCTGCGGGTCGATTGTCGAATCGTTATCGAATGAATTTGATCGATAACTCCCTATCTTCACAATGCAATATCGATCAAGGTCTTTCGACAACGATTCAACAATCGACCGACTGATGTGACTTTTTTCCTACCCTTAGGTTGAGGCCTCGACGGAGAGTTACTTGCGGTTGGGTCGCTCCCACACGAATATCCTGCAGGAACTGGAGTCTCTAGGGTTGTCTTCGCAGCAGAGGACCGAGAAATTCCACATCCGAGCATTTCTCGAGCCGACAGTCTGGAAACCCTTCCTCATCCTGTCGCTGTTCCACATCATCCACTGCGGAGCCGGAATCTACGACGTTTTATTCTACACCGTTGAATTCGTCGAGACTCTGGGCACGTCCTACGACCCTTTAGCCGTCTCTATATTCACGTCTGTGGCAAGATTCATAACCAACATGACTGTTGGCCTATACTTCACGGCGTCCTTGTCGCGGAGGTTCGCCACGATTTTCTCGAGCTTTTTCATGTGTTTATCCCTCTTTGTTATGGGAGTCTACGAGTATCTATACCGCGACGTTTCGGTTAAGCCGTTCGATTGGGTTCCCGTGCTTTTCACTGTGGTCTCCGTCGTGTCCTGCTCCACGGGGTTGCTGAGCCTCCCGTGGTTGATGCCCGGTGAGATGTTTCCGCTGCATGTTCGGGGGGTCATGAACGGGGCTGCCTTCTTGGTCGGTTCTGCGTGTATGTTCGTCACTCTGAAGCTCTACGCTTTCTGTATGGAGACCCTTCAGATATGGGGCATGTTGTTGATGTTTGCTGGGCTCGCGTTCACAGGGGTCTTTTTTGGGATGTTCGTCCTGCCCGAGACCCAGGGTAAGACATTGTATGAGATCGAGCAAGGGTTCCTACCGACACAGAAAAAGCGAGAAAACGAGATTTCCCCGAGTGGAAAGGTTGAAACGATAACATGAGGTGATAAGTCATTTGGGCCGAGTTTATGAGAAGAGAACGTTGGTTCTCTACAACACACTTCCACATTTTCGGAAAAATTGAGATGAGGATGTCGAATTTCACCAGTCGTTTACATTTTCTTCCGCCAAAAACTCGAAATCGAAAAAATCAGTTGTAAAAAGGGAGGCTAAAGTTTATTTTCTAAATTGAGTCTTACGCAGGAATAAAACTTCAAACCTATTTTTCTCTTTTTTAACGTAATGTGGGTTGGTGAAGAGATGGAGAGATGCCAGCTTCCGGAGGATCTCTACCATGACAGATTCCTGTGGAGAGTAGGCGTCGCAGAGCGCCCTAGCGCGCCGTAAAAGCGGCTTATACATAAATACATGTGGGATAGTTCCTTTCGGATAAACTCGGTCAATTTTAAATAGGAGATTCAAACTTATAGATCTGAGCGAACAACCCGCAAGACTAGTTTTTAAGTCTGCCCGTCGTGAATTCGGTTGAAAATATTGTGATTTGTCTACTTCTGTGGCGTTAACTACTAGGAAAATTTTAGGAGAAGTAGACCTGACACGAAGCTGATTGGCCGAGCAAGTTGTTTATATTTGACCTGAAGGAAGTGCGGAGGTAATGTAAATCGCTATTTAGCCATTAATTTGAGAAAAATATTTTTGGTCAGAAATCATACACCGTGGAGCAGTCTAGTTATGTATTGTCATGGGAACGGAGTTCCCCATGATATTACAATCGTTCCGTTGCTTTCGCTATGGGATTCCCTATACCTCTGCGACCTTGAGCGTTTCGCCCAGTCTCCGATTTTTGGTTGATTTTCCGATGTATCAAAAACCGTTGTATTTTTTAGCCAATCATGTCTCTACGTCAAGTTGTGTTGGTTGCTAAAATTCGCTTTCAGCGAGTTTTTTTCCACTTTGAGATGTCGTGTCTGACTGGTAAATCTGCGCAGAACCACGAAGTTCCGTTTTTAGGCAAATTCTTTTTTTTGGGAGGTTCTGATTGGTTATTTTTCGCCATCAGTTTTCTGTTCGTTGGTGCAAAAGATCGCCTACCTCGGTGTTTTTGAGAAGCCGCCATTATCCCACCTCAAATTTGAAAAATAGAAGTAAAGAAATAATAACCATCGTACAAGGTGGAAAATTGTTCTGGAGGACTCGTTACGGATAAAGAAGTCAAAATCAGAGCTCGACTGATTGATTTAATTCATGGATACGCAAATATTGCCTTAGCTCAACTGCCGCGATCGGAATGCGTGCTGGCATGAACCTCGAGACGCATTAAAACAGTGCGAACCATGGCTCATACAGAATGCGCATCCCAAAAGCAGTCAAGGTCTCTTGTGACAAGTCCCGTCCATTGCCCGAGTCTTTTAAATGCTATTTTTACTCCCGCTCACGTGGTTCCGTCATAGCCTAATTGACTAAACCGCCTCATATTTGAGAATAGATGCGGGTATCCGGTGATCGTGAGTTCGATATCCGACGATGGGAACTACTTTTTAATGGTTGTATTGAATATTTTAGACTAATCATCAAAAAATAATTAATAGTAGAAGATAAATGTACGAACATTTTCTCGTGAGTTAATATGTTAAACAAAAATACTGGAATATACCTCTTTCATATAATCAGCCACATGTTCCCCCAAATTAATGACGTTATTTTCTTTTTTCAATACCTAAAGTTAATTTGCATTCAACGTTCGTAAGTTAAGCAAAAAGTACCTATTGATACAAATAGAAAGACACGAAAATAGTACGTCTAACATTTCAGTTTTTTTTTTTTTTTTTTTTTTTTTTATATTTTGTT